AAACTAACAATTCAACTAATTGCCAGTGAAGTGTGAAGTATTCCCGGACAAATTAAAAATTTTTTTTTACAAGAAATAAGGAAAAACAAACGACGGTTTAATCAAAACTTACATAAACTAACGAATCTTTATCCAAAATAACCTCTGAACTAACAATTCCAGCACATGTCGCGGAAAATGTGAAGCACGCCCGGACAATTTTGATTTTGGGATAACATTAGTACCAAAGAGAAACTAACGTCATTCTTGCCAGAACTAATGAAAACCAACTAAAAACTAACAGGTACATTGTAAATTGACACAATTGGTTCAACTTCCAGGAGCAACTTCACGGACCTACATTCTTTACCTATACGTAGTTCAGTTCGAGGTTCAGTTAATGATGTGTAAATCCTGGAATTAAATGAACCTCTCGAAGCCGGATCGGGATGGTTCACAAATTACAAAGAGAATTAAAAGTGACGGGGTTCCACTGACTGTATAGTGTTTATTTTTTGGTATTTGATACTTTGACATATATGCCTCTCCTAGGATTTAGTTAAGTGGGGCTGCGTCCCTGGTATGCACTAACAGGGGTGCATCTCCACTACTTTTGTTGCCATCGCGCTGGGCCGCGGCATATGCCAAACAATGTGGTGGATTTTGTGGATTGGGGAGGTTGTGGGGGGCGGCTCACTGGGTTTTATCCGACCCGAAAGGGTACGGCCACAGCTTCGCCACTGGAATATCTGCCTTAGAAGGAACTTTACTTTCTGGTGATAGCCTCTTCTCGGGGCGTTCATTAGTTTCTGATAGCTTTGGTCTCGTTCTTTCCCCCTTGTTCCTCCGCTTCTTATTGTTGTCCTCTCCCTGCGTTGCTTTCTGTTCCATTGTACAATCAGAAATGCAATTTTGTCTTATAGTATTATTCAATGCTTATAGATACTAATGTGATTTTTAGAAAATTTGAAATCTTCCCAAGAATGTTATACTAGATATACGTGGATCAGGGTTCCTCCTCCATCTTTTATGTCTTTATTCGAACTCGGAATTGGTTGGCGTGTGTTTCTGAAATTTGTGGAAGAGTGAAATCCTAGCATTTCAATGGGACACTTTTCCTCAACAATTTCTACAACTTCATATAAATCTTAAATCTAGGGGGAACAGTATACACTTATACAGGGTGTCTTAATTTCAATGTTTTACAAACAGACCTTTACTCGTGTACGTGCGTGTAAAACTTATACACGTGGAAGACAGCTTCTGCTTATCATGCACCGTTTGACAATTTTATCAATTGTTATTGTTAGTTATTTATAAACTCAATTCTGTGCGCCAGCTGGGTTTTAATTGACTAATTCATGCTCATCGCAGACTTAATATTCAGTAATCCCAGGAGTAATCCCGATAGATATCGAGGCGCCATGAAAGATTAGATAAAGAACGGAAGCGGATGTGACGCAATCTTTCCGGGAAATATGACGTATTTGTTCGAGAACATTCCAGAATACTCGGAAGCGTTCGAAAACTTGAGAGAAAGAGGGCGTTTTCCATAAAAGTAAATCGAAATGCGCGTCAGTTCAGTTCAGCGCTGAAATAAATAGTTCGCGCTGGAATTGTGGTCATGTGAGTGAGTGAAATATTATTTAAACTGTTATAAATTAATTGATTTCAAGTTATAAATTTGTTAATTATTTGTAAATAAATAAACCACGTAATTAAATTTACGTTATTTTAGGTTATACTTAATTTAAACTAGCAAAAGCTGCGTTCATACCCTGCAAAAGTGGTAAAAAAATACGTTACATGATTACAGTATTGGAAACCGAACAGTAAAGTTAAAATGTATGTACGAATTCGAAAAGTCCCTTCGTCATGTATTTTATATCTATCAGTTTCCCCTTGTAATGTAAAATTCGAGTATAAATAACACATTCGTTGGTGGGTTTTCGATGTTTAAAAAAAATAAGTAGGTATAAATTTGAGTTGGCATGTTATTATTGGAAATATGATAAAATTGCGAGGGCATTTGAATATTTGGGAAATTAGAGCAAACTTTTAAAAACCGTCTCCCAATAATTCCACAGAAAAGCAGTTTTTTTCTAACGGGACGTTGAAACTGAGATTCCAGCTACATTCTCAGTGATGTAAAATTGGGTTTTGATCTGGGACCGACATGATTAATGATTTCTTGATTTCTATTTGGGTTTTGAACACCAGGGACATCGAAATGGACAATGGACATTCTTAGCGGGGGAATTATTCGAGATTTCTCGAAAGTTATAAACTTCCACAAAGCAAATTGCCCAATTTCATATTTATGACAGGTTACTTTTTGATTTAAAAAATTTACGGTTTTGGTTTTTCAAAATTTAGAACGTCAATTTTAGTTTGTGAAGCCCCTTTTTATAATCTTCTTCGTAAATAATAGGTAGGTACGTATAAGTAAGGTATCTTATATTTACGGGAATCCAAAATAAATCGTCTATTTTAAACCAACAAAAAAAATGCGCTAAAAAGTACAAAAACACTGAAAAGATTAAACAAATGTTTAATTAAGCCATGATGACCCTTGTTAAGTTCATTTCAGATTAGGGTCGGTTTTAATTATCTGATCTCCTATTTGTATAAAATTGTTTCCATGGTAATTAACAGTAATTGTTGGTAATTGACAGATTGTAATCATATTGGCATTGGCAGTTATCAATAAAAAGTACCCCAAAATGAGTAGTTTCAAATTTACGTTAGCTGATCGTAGGAAAGTACTGTTTAGTACATAAAAATTGAGCATCCTCCCTTTACGTGCAGCAAATAGGTAACGGGAGAGGGTTTCAGATACTATGTAGATTGGGAAACCCCTTCAAAACTATTTTGCATATGCTTGAGTAAATGCGACGGCAATTGAGACCTTTAGAGAGTATAAAGTTTACATTAGCACGGCATTCTCTTTCAGAATTTCAAACACAGAACCTGTTGATAAATAATGGAGCGGAATGATTGCAGAGTTTGCTCAGGACATCCTGCCATAGCTTCTCCCTTCAATTTAGCAGAGATTGTCGTTGTTATTAGCATAAGGGATTTCTTCCATCTATTAACAGCTAACATAATTAACGGCTTTCAATTTAAGATTATTCAATTAACCTGCTCAGTCTATCGTATGAGTTTGATAAAAACGGGTAAAAAAAGGGACGTAATCCGAAGAATCATTGTTTGTTATTAGTTACAATTCGCGTTGATTTAAAAACAAATTTAAATTATACTCTCTTTTATTTAATGGCATTTTATTATTTCAATTAGACATAACTGCCTATTTTTTGTCAGAGTGAACTTTCAGTTTTTACTCATTCATTTAAGATGCTTAAGACCTTTTCCACAAATTATGAATACCAACAATTTTTCAATCGCAATAATAACGAATTTTTCCGTCGATATTTTACAATGGCTTCATCCCTACACTCCAAATGACAGCCAGCCTAGTAGACTGCACACGATGAACCCAATTAAAAAATCGGCTGGTATAATATTCATAGATTTCATAATTTCCTTGAAAAGGGCTAGACCATTTGAAGAAAAAGAAAGTACTGTTTCAGCAAGACAATGCATCTGATCACGTGTCACTGTAAACGATGGTAAAATTACGCATGAATTAAGTAACGAATTTTTTCCCCATCCTCCGTATTCTCCAGATCTGGGGTCCAGTGACTTTTTCTTGTTCATTCTCGCTGGAAAGAAATTCAGCATTAATGAAGTAATCGTTGAGAGTGAAGCCTATCGCCCTCGAAGGCAACTACGTTGAAAATTAAAATCGAATTTGATCAACACAATGTGTTTTACTGTGTTAGCCTACGAGCTTTTCAACCCACCTAAGAGGATGAGTATTTATTTCAATGTAAGTGGGCAAACGTACAGTATTTTTTGCAATGTTTGAATTAACATATAGCAATCGAAGGAAGTTGACCGAATGTGTCTTCTTAGAAAGCGAGGATTCGTCAAAATTTGATATAAATGAGGTACTTCTTAAAATAATGGTTCCAGTAGTAGCCCATTGTAGATAATGACATCCTTTACGGGGGACTCTTAGATTGGTCTTAATGAAAACTAATCAGCAGAGATGTGTCAAAAAGCCGGACAATTCATATTTTCTTTTGTATGCAGAATTGATCCTGATTGTCTTTGCAAATAAGATTGTCTCCTTTTTGGGTAAGTATACAGGGTGATTCAAATTGGAGGACCACCATGGGGATCTCGGAAACTGTAAGAGATAGGTAGGTAGGTTAAATTTGGCAAAGTTGAGTATTTTGATTCTTAACAAAATGCGGTTTTGAAACTGAAAAATTCCGATTACTTTCGGAGATGTCCGGAAAAAAAAACGAAATTTTGCGAAATAGCAAGAATAGTGATATTGACATTTATGAAATCAGAAAAAAAATAGTTCAAATCAAATAACACAAAAAGTAAAAATGACTTCCACAACAAAGTTGATGATGGTTAACCGGAGACGAAAATTTAAAACTAGCATCTTGTAGAGGGAAAAAAATGGTCACAATGAAATATCTTTTTAAATAACTTCGGTAAAAAATAAAAACGATTTTGCAACAATTTCGTTTTTTCAGGATATCTCCGAAAGTAGTCGAAAGTTCATTCGTTTCAAAACCGCATTTTGTTAAGCATGAAAATACGCAACTTTACCAAATTTAAACTACCTACCTATCTCTTACAGTTTCCGAGATCCCCATGGTGGCCCTCGAATTTGAATCAGCCTGTATAACGAACTCGACAAATTTAAAATACTATACTTTGTATAATGCATATTAGTCACCCACTCGCCTTTAATTTTATCCAAAATCAGCCGCGCCGCAGTTTTAAAACGTTTTCTATTATAAGATGACCTATATATAGGGAATAAATTCGCGAACTTATACGATTCCTGATAAATTATCTTTCTCACGCAATGCCTAGCTGGCGTACTTTATATCCCGAACCAGATCGAAGCAACCTTGGTAAATGTTTAACAGACTTACGTGAGTAAAGTAGTAGTAATAAACCTTCATTCCTCTTTCTGCCATTGCTTCTGCAAAATAATTTGTCGGGCATATGAAAAAATAATCTCCCACAACATCGGCAATCATCTTTTGATTGAGGTAGCCGTCGTTCACATGCTCCCAGTCCGTATACTGAAATTGTGCGAAATTATTACCCTCTTTTGCATGCAGCTTGATGGAAAACTTACCTGAAAAACGATTGCATCGCGTTCGAGCCGGCTCATATTTTTAAATATCGTGTTTATGATGTCGTGGTACTTGTCCCTCTGCAAATAACTTGGTCCGTCCTTTTCGAAGAAGTCGATAAAGTCGTAGAGGATAAAATACGTTCCTAAAATGTAAAAGTGTATTAGCAACAGTTCATATTTTATTTATCAACATTCTGCCAGTTTTGTATTACATGTCTAACTAGATAGGTTTGTATTCGCTCACGCAATGTTTACTCAAAAATTTCTTTTAGCGTCACTCTACTGGAAGTTTCTCTAAGGAAGTGCTAAATATGTTGTACACGAGAGTATCGTTAGCGAAAATGTCGGGAGAGTGTCCTTTTGTAAAAAATATTTAATTTTATGATTATGAATAATATATGGGATAGGATAAATGGGATCGCTTAAAAGACACAAAAGTGATCGAATGGAGACGGGAACAGCTAACAAATCATCATTAAGTTGTTTTCCCACACTCAAGAACCGAAAAGCCTTTAAAATATTAATTTGTTATGTTTGCTCCTAGATTTTCCCGATGTGGAGTGGACTATTGTTGAACCATGATTAAAATTAGAACTTAGGAAGGAAACTAATCTAATTATAAATCGTCTCTTTGGATCCAGTCTTGCAATAATAACTAATAACTAATGATGATGGGTATATAAAAAAAACCGAAATCGATCGCTTAAGAAAACAATAATAAAAAAAATACAATACATTCTTTATTCATAAAAGCAGACCCAGAAAATGGAGATCTTCATAAAAAATAAAAAAAAACACTTATAATAATAATGGAGACTTGCAGAAACAAAACGCTCAACAAATTTTAACATTATGCAGTGTGGCAACACTTCGCTATGATTCGGGAAACTAGCACTAATTGGTCGATGTCAATTTTCTATTAGTCTCACTAACTTATTTTTCTTACTTACTATCTTCGTTTCAGAAACTAATTTTGTTTTAACGTAATTTTATGTGTGAATTAGCATACTGCTACCTTGGTATATTTCAAAAGTTTCGTGTGTATGGAATGAACGTACATCGCTTTCATAGAGCTCTAAGAAAGTTGAAAGAAGGTGTGGGTAAGTTACTAATCCTTCTATATTGTTGAGGGATACTTTAGTTGTTTTGTTTACTTATTTAACGGTTTTGTATACAAGTTGCTCTCCGTGCGTTTACGCTTTCGAATTTTTATTTAACCTCAAACGAAGACATTTTATTTGCTCTTAGTTACTTATTGGTGCAAGGTGGAGACAATTCAAGTTTGTTTTTACAGTATTTTTGTATATGCTGTTGAATTCCACCATCAAGTACCTAAGGTTAAATTGGCTCCTAATACCGGTACAACTTCTTTGTTGCTCAATTAGATTTTGTGGCTTACGCTCAAACTGTCAACTTTGACTGGGCTACCGAGGCTTGGCATATTATATTTGTGCTAGCACTTGTTTTGGTTTTTTGAGTAGAAGTACTGTAATGCGTTTCTAAAGTAGACTAAAAATTTTTCCAAAAAAGTGAAACTTTAACGTTTGATTCGACCCCAATATCGAGGATAATACTCATTTCGCGGGGAAAATCATGGGAAAAGATGTTGTGGAAATATAATTTGCTTCAATTTAAGCACAGAACGACGTCTGTAGACCATATAGTTTACTCGTGAATTTTAATAATTAAAAAAAATTGAATCCTGCATTTTTCAAAAAATTTACAGATGTCGCAATCCATGCAGCCATCGGAAACATTGGGAATGATAACCGTATAACGCCATATGTAAAACCCAAATAAGCGTCATTCACCCGGGATCACTTGCTCGACTCACTTGCAAGCTCGCTCGTGTCGCAAACGGAAATAATCTGGCCCCTAGTTTTGTGCAATATTCCATCACCAGACACAAGACAACTTCTAATAAGCAACCGAAGTCAAGATTAATATCCAGAAACCCCCCGGTAAGAACAGCAAACCAATTCACACATTTTAGAATTGAGCAACACCGGAACACCGAATAGGGCAGCAAAGAAGTCCGAAATTCACATCTTATTGACGACCCAGTTACTACACTTACTAGATATGTACTCCCTCGCAGGTTAGGGTGCAAACTAGGTAAATAGAATTAGACCGGACCATGGTATTTTCAACAATGAACAAATGAGGTAAAACAGAGAATTGCCAGTGTACCTAATAATTGCGGGGCTGCCGAACAAACAATCCACCACTTTGTCATATCAGAATTTTAAAATTCAGAGCATTGTGAATAAAGGTACAAACAGCGAGCACCATTTTGGTACAAATATGAAAGATTTTTCACTTCCGGCCTCATTTTTTATCCTTCCATTGTGCTTCATGACCCCCAAAAACGTAGGTCCAGGCCGGGTCCGTTAACTTGGCCCCCCCCACTGAGAGATTTCATAGTCGTAACTTTTGAAAACGCTAAGTTAGACCCTCCACTTTTTAAAAATTTTTTATGGCTTAACCGTAATGGCGCTAGCTTTAATTCAAGTGGCGCAGTTGAGCTCATAACCAGATGTATCAAGTGGCACAAATACCGGTAGCAAAATGCGTTATGGGGGATTCCGTTCACTTGGCCCCCCCCCAAATATATTTAAGGATATCCAAAAAACAATAATGGCGCAAAGATATCTTTTTACGGCGCATTTCAGCGCATACCTGAGAGTACAATTTCGTATGAAAAGATGTTAAAAAAAAGTAACTTTTAAAAACGTTAAGTTGGCCCCCCCACTTTTTGAAAATTTGTCACGGCTTAACCGTAATGGCGCTAGCTTTAATTCAAGTGGCGCAATTGAGCGCATAACCAAATGTATCAGGTGACCTAGTTACAAGGGACAAAATACGTACTGGGGGGGGCTACGTTCACTTGCCCCCCCCCCCAATGTTTTTTCGGATTTCTAAAAAACGATAATGGCGCAAGAGTTATTATCGGTGGCGCATATGAGCGCATAACGAGCGCATTCATTTCAAAATAATACGACTATGAAATCTCTCAGTGGGGGGGCCAAGTTAACGGATCCGTCCAGGCCCTTAAACTGTAAACATGTTAGACGGAAAATACGCCGTGGTGGTCAAAAACCGCCATCTTGAATATATCCCGGTCCATTTTCAGACTATCAGATTCAATGGGATTGAAATAGGGGGAAACCACTCAATTGTTACACGAAATGCTTCTTGCATGAGCAATGAGAGCTTTTACTGGATAGTGACCCTGACTATACGTAAATTGAATCAATTATACCTAGTTTCGATCACATCGTTTAAAATATTTTGACCCAAAATCATCCTGTAACCTTCATTTTCATGCCTACTTTTTGTCAGGAAGTTGTAGTTTCCATCACAGAAGCAGAGCAGACTACGTCTCCTGCCGCTTGTCACTTTACTGGCGGCACCTGTCACTTTACTGGCTGCACCGTCACTTTACCGGCCGCTTTTGTAACATTGCTAACTGTCTATAATGACTCATGTCGTCACTGACAGATTGACATTAATTAAAAATTCTATATAAAAATTGAAATTTTATATTAAATTACGATTTCCGGTAAAATGTAATACAAAACTCGTCAGTAAACTAACATTACCTGACTCGGAAATTAAAGTACTCGGCCCCTATTTCCTTGCCAGTAATGTGTCATTTTCCTGACTTTTATGTAAATAACTATTGCTATTTAGCAGAATAATACTCTTAGAAAAACTGTATTGTTACGGTATAGTATAAGGTGGGTAGCGCACGATTGGTATATGAGCTACTACAATAGGACCCAATATATTAATATTAGAAAAGATGGCACCAGGGATGGCACTGATTATAAGTCTCAAATAAAGACTACAAATATAGGTGTCCCGCAAGGTTCCATTCTGGGGCCAATTTTATTTAGTCTATTCCTAAATGATCTGCCTCAATATTTAAATGCATGCTGATGACCCTACTATCTCCTTTCCGTGCCTATCACAGCAGGACGCTTTAGAGAAATCAGTCTATATTATCGCAACTATGTCGAAATGGTTGTCTAATAACAAACTTAGTGAACCACGAAAAAACATCTTTTGTGCTTTTTAATAATACAGCAAACATTGATGTCAATAAGGTTATCAAAGTTTCATTTCTTTCAGAACAACGCTGAGCTAGTTTCTTGGGTCTGTGGGTTGATAGTTGGTTAAAATTTGACACTCATATAACGAAGTTAGAGTCAAAACTGAAAAAATCCTGTCATTTGCTACTTCATTTAAGTACATGCACTCATAAAGATGTATTATGCGCACTTCGCATCATTACTGCGATATGGAATTCAATACAGGAGAGTTTTATTTTACTCTGGTAGAATCTTTAAGTTTCAAAAGCGGGCTCTTCGCATAATCATGGGTCTTGACCAGAGGGACAGTTGTCGTTCAGTTTTTCAAAACTGCAAATACTAACAATTCCTAGCTTGTTTATCTTTTGTAGTGCCATGTACATTATTTAAACAAAAATAAATTTCAAAGAAACTGTGATATTCACTCCCATGACACAAGGACTAACACTAAAATCCATCTACCACCAACACAATCCTCCAAATTCAGTAACAGCCAATTCTACCAGCCCATCGTTATTTACCCCGACTTATTCAAGAGGCAAAATTGTTACTATTCCGTACCATTTATTGCCTAGAGGAATTCCAGAGTGTGTGTAAAGAAGTTTAGCAATTGTGATTTTATAGGTTAGCTATTTATACATGTCACTTACTTTTTATAGGTTTTTTATAGATTGTTATTTTTGTATGTTCGTTTTTTTAGAATTTCGTCATTGTGTTATTTTATAGTACCTATCCGGATTTTATCTTGTCTTGTCGCCTACAATGGTCTGTAGTTTATTTGGTGACAATAAACTTATTAATATTATTAAACAATCTTGTCCTGGCACAATCATCTATATAAAAAGTTATCAAGTGCTAGCAACTTTATTCTCCTTTTCTTAATTTCATATTATGGTAACACTATTTTTGTCGTTTCTGAGAGTATATTGACTACAATTAGGGCAGATTGTGTTTACTCCAACGTAAACCAAAGACCTCGTGTTTTTTGTCTAATGTCGTTCAACTGAAGAATCCTGATTTAAGTATTCTGACAAGTACGATGAGAAACTTCTCTTTGGAGTTTTGGGGAAAGAAACACTTTGGGTCTTCAGTTTATGTAGGAAAACATTCTTTGGGTCTATTGTACAGTCCAAAACTTTTTTACATGCCTAATTGTTACACTCTGTATTTTGATGTGTATATTATGTAAGACATATTATATTTATTTTATTACAGTTTTATCCATATTTATGAAACAGTAAACATTAATTTTACTATCGACTGGATCGCATAAAATGTCAGAATCTTTATGCGATGTCTTACGCTAATATTGGAATAAAGTGAATAGAAAGAATTGAAAAACACTGTGAAAGTTATCCCCTTCCATAGTCACAAATGACTATATCCATTCCGATTCCTAGTTGGAGATTGATTATTACGTCACTTTGCAAACGTGAACACTGAAAGATTTAAACTACTTCCTCTGATCTAAAGCTGATGTTACGTCATTTTACCCAAATCTGAATCTTTGGATATATGTAAAACACTATTCACACGTGCTAACAAAAATTACTTATTCCCTATTTCACGCATACCTATAAACAATCACTTGCTATCAAATTGGATGCCATTATTTAGTTAGTCCAAGATCCTTGTTAAAAGGTGGTATTACATAAATAGCAAACGGACGGGGACACAATTAAAAACTAGCTACATCTTTTAACCCTAAGGAATACACATCTACTGTTTGCATAGGGTAATTTCAGTTAACAAGATAATGTGAGGCTAGCCTGGATTGGGTAGGGTTAATCTAATCGATAGATGATAGGAATTACCGGCAAAAGCATAAACCTATAGAGACGAATATTTCCACACAATACCGAATCGAAAAATAATCTCCTTTTTTTTTAGATAAAAAAGTAAATTTGATAAATATCATTAATTTTATAACTTCGCGTAGTTCGAATCATCCATTTTCTTTAAGGGAAAACATAACGTTCAATCAAATTATTGCGAAACCAATCCGTTATCGGGAAACAAAAAATAAAGCAAAAAGTTTAAGGAATCGATATATTGGAATTAACCTTCAAAATTTCTACATTATGAACCCCTCGAGGCTCGAGTGGCCTACATATACTATTTATAATACGCGAATCCCATCGCTAATTACCATAAATGAAGACAGGTCCATTTGACAACTCTCTCCTCTCGAACTCCTAAGAAATACGGTAACTGTAATTAACTCTAATGCTTTGTATCTCAGACCAGTCAGAATTCTCAGGAGTAGAGGAAGTCTCCTAATTGAACTTCAATTCTATAATTAATGACTAAACCCTCCAGGAACAGCAATTGTACGTTTGAATAATGACGCCCTTAAGCTAGGTATATAATTTTGAAAGACAAACATCAACAAAAACATTGATAAATTGAATCGAACTCTATTAAAAGTACATTAGTGATTGATCGTACTCCCCATTCAAAAATTTAATCCATCTATAATTTAGTTGAGATATATTTCTTGATCAAGGGAAACTCACGTAATGGTAATACGTTTAAAATGAAACTTAACTTTAACCTTATTACTCAAGGTTATGAATATTTAAGGGTTCATAACTTACGCACTAAGATTAAACAGAATTTGAGACATCGCTGCTGATCCCTTTGTATGTATTTCTAGTTTTACTGTTAATCTGTGATTTTTGTACCTACAACATTATGAAATTCAATGTACTCCTTCCTTGAAAAATTACACCTTCTATTCTACAAGGTGGTGACTTGCGTGCGTAACGCATCATAGGGATTTCAATGTAAAATTCATAACGTGCGATTATTGGCTCCCCAAATTATTTTAGAGCAAAAATGTATCAAGGTTTTTTGTAGAAAAAAATTTTTTACGTCAATCAACCGTATTAGTTTTCATTTTTTTGCATAATAAAGACGGAAAATTGGATAAATACAACCCTCATCTTTTTCAATTATCTGCAATGCCATGGAATTTTCTAAAACAAAAAGATATCCAGTTATCAATTAGCAGCAGTTCGAAATGGATTTTATGATCGACTTGGTTACCGTCTTGCAGTTAATGGTGACTTATTCTAACATTTATTGTAAATTGTTATATTAGGAAACCGTTTTTAGTAATTTGGTCTTTCTTTATGTCGAATTCGCTGTTCTAAATAGAATACTTTTTGATAGAATTTGATTTGTTTTATAGCAGACATTCCATGGCATGACGGATATTGGCGTAGTTTTTGTATTATAAAATTCCATGGCATCACAGATTATTGAAAAAGATGGACGTTTAATTTTTTCAATTTTCCGTCTTTATTATGAAAAACATTCAAAACTATTACGGTTGATTGACGTAAAAAATTTGTTTCTAAAAAAAACTTTAATACATTTTTCCTCTAAAATAATTTGGGGAGCCAATAATCGCATGTTATGAATTTTACATTGAAATCCCTATGATGCGTTACGCAAGTCACCACCCTGTAGATAGAAGGTGTAATTTTTCGGCCAAAGCACGGCGGCGGCGTCCCAAACTTCACACACACGGCCCATGGTGAAAATCGAATGGAGAAACGAAAAAGGCCACATTAGAACACCCCTTCTTGTATTTAAACTATTTCTTTCTCTTGTCCCATCTTCGATTCCACTTCCCTATTCTTTAGTTAAAATACGCAAACGACATACGACAACATTTGTTTACAAAATTAGTTAACTTTCAGCGATAAACGCAACTCTTATTTACACCCGGAGAAAAACATGAGATAAACTTTTTTAATATAACGCAAATAATTTCGAGATGTTCCTGATCTTATGTTGATTTAGCAAACGTGCACATAAAGAATGCAATTTGGGTGTGTCACCACATCTCTATGACCTCGTTTATGACCAACCCCGTATAATTAAAAATTAAAGAACCCTAAAACTATTGCATAAAGCTGTTGTTGAGTCTAATCGATTCAACATTCACAGTGCCATTTTCGTATCTCGACCATTATTATGAACCGAATTGCAAACTTTTTTATTTATGAAGGTATTTAAATAAAATTTGATACATAGGCACTTGGATTAAAAGCAAATCTAACGCCGTTTTTCGAACCAGCGAAAGGTAAATCTTGAAATGACGAGTATTAACAAGCTCCTAATAAGCGAGTTCAGGATTTTGGATTTCTGTCCGTCCGTCCATCTGTGTTCAAGATGATCCTTCAACTTGTAGGTATGTATGTATTCCCGGGTCGACCTGTCAGTTGTCCACGGTAGAATGCTTTGTTCAGTTTTCGTGCTTTTTGAGCTTATTTTTTTGTGTTTATAATTTCAGTTCGTATATATATATTTTTTGCCTTTATTTTATAGTGGGCGGAGTGTTAGCAATTTGCTACTGTTCCCACTCAACCCACTATACAATCACAAGCAGCCATTTTTACATATTTTGGGTTTGTAGTAATTGTTTTTCATTACTAGAAGCATCTGTGGTTAAAATTTCAAAGAAATATCTTCATACATAGAGAACTTGGCACTGCGCATTCGCACATCTAATGTTTACAGTATGAGATATGTTTGCCTTTAACCAGGGCCGTGTGGTAAATTTTTTTCTAATGATGCACGTTTCCATGATACCGCCCCTTAAAACGTTAAATATTTTTTGTTGAAAATTGCATTCGATCAAAGAATAGATTCTTTGATTGGATTGAGATTTAAAAATGCATATATACTGTAAGAACAACAATCGACTGCACTTTTGCCTTTCTCGCTTTAACTCTTACAAATTCTTCAATGAGGGGCGTGTATGATTCAATAGAAATTAATGCCAGATTTCTAAATTTTGAATGGCCCTAACAATTTCACAGGTAATTTTTAAATAATTTAAGTTTAGAAAAACTTCTCTCTTCACTAGCGACAGACATAGGAATTGTTAACAAAAATCTTATAGCTACGACACTATTTGGATAATACACTAATTGGGCTGTTTTGACACAAAAATTAAAAACACCCAAAGGTTTCATCGAAATGGGTATCATATTAGATATATCATGTAATTCTTCTTGAAAATCATTTGCATTTATGTTTTTTTGTCATATATGGACTTTTTGATGTAGGTTTTCTGAAGCGTAAATCGTTCCATGAGCGAATTAAAGGTAATATCCAAAATATAATTGAATACTTATATGAATTATACAGTATGGGCCGTCGAAAACTTACAATGGTTATATTTTTTATATCAATAAAATGAGAAATGTGGCTGTTGTAAAAGTTAGGGAGAATCCTAATGTGATATTTTTCAATAATTTTAATTGTTTGTTCCACGCTCTAAGCTATTTTTTAAATTAAACAAAATAAACCGATGGAAGATACTAATAAAAAATTGAGGTTAGTTTTTGAGTTTACCTTACTTTTTTAATGATCAAAATAAATAAAAAATTGTAAGCCCACACTGTATATGTAAAAGGTAATGACGTGAAGCCCAACTGCGACACTAAGGGTCCCTGGTTCGACTCCGGATTCGGGCATGGATATTTGTAAATGTATATAATAATGGTTCTTTTTTAATTGTCCCTCTCTTGCTCTGGACCTTCAACAGGCTTGCGCTTAATTACAGAATGGCCCGTATAATGGTTTTAAGAGGAGCCCTTGCAGGCTGAAACCCCATCCACTTAAAAATAAAGTCCAAAAATAAAATAAATAAATAAAAATTAAAAGATTCAACATTTTCCTATGTACCTACGTAACAATTTTCAATTTTTAAAAGTATAGGGTGCAGTCACCTCGCGGCGCTTATTATATTTATTAGGCACCTCGAGCTATCGGCCCGCATTCGCCTCTAATTGTGGTGAAAGACATCGCGGTCTTGGATTTGCGAAGGGTCTTTCTAAACTCAAAACAGTACAATTAACTTTTCTGAGAATTGCTACTTCAGCTTTTACCATTGCTCTGGTGGTTAAAAATTACTGCTTTTGCCTCCCCTGTACGGTGCCGCCTGATGCGGCCGCATCTCTGCATCATAGTATCGCACGGTCCGGCCTTTAACAGAGGCATCTGTAATTTAAATTTCAAAAAGATATCTGGATAAATAAAACAGTTGAAACTGCACATCTTGCGCATGCGCACATTACTCTGATGTGTACAATATGCGATACGTTTGCGTTTACTAAAAGCATGTTTGGTTAAAATTTCAAAGAAATATCTCCATAAATAAGGTAATTGGCATTGCGCACGTCTGATTTTTACTATATGCGATATGTTTGCCTTTACTCATATAGGCAGACTAGCCTTAAAGTCGATACTAGTGAAAGCGTGCATAAATAACGATTTTGACATCTTTTGACTAAAAACATTTTGGTTTGCAAAAATTGGTATAGTTCCCGTCATGGGCATCGAGCAATCGAGTTGGTCGTTTTCTCAACGAAGTGGGTGAATAAATAACTATTAAATATCTTTTGAGTAAAAATATTTTGGCCGCGAAAAATACACATGTCATTTCTTGGACATCGAGCAATCGAGTTTGGTCTTTTTCACAAGAAAATGCATGCGATTTTGACATCGTTTCGTTCGACACCAAAAATGCACATGGATCACATCTTGGATATCAAAGAAAAGAGTTTAGTCAGTTATTAAATAACGATCTTGACCGACGGTGGGCCACAACGTAATTGATACGACAACCCGGCATCGATACGTGGTCTAGGGAGTGAGCTATAGCGCGAAACGACGGACAGATGGACGGAAAAGTGAGGACATAAGCGCTCCACCTTCGTGGGTTGCGCTAAAAAGGTCGGAAAATAATTTTCTTTTTTAACCAGTCTACACCACACACTTCGTACTTTACGTTTACAATTTGAATATATGAAATGAAATAGTGACAGTGGCGAAAGATATGAAGCGTGGGATTGCATCGGTAAATTCAAATAATAATTAAAAGCTTCAAATTATTCATTCGTTCCGACATGAATTCACCTAAGAACCACGTTCCTTTCCTTGCAGGACACCCTGTGTAAGTTAATAAAAATGTCTGAATCTAACTCGCTCTTCTCCTACACTCTTCTCCCATCTAACAGTCTTTGGAGCAAGTAAATCTTATGCCATCACTATAATATGAGCTAGGTCGCTTCCCCTCCCCCTCCTCTACCTCTTTTGCTTCCTCTACTGCACAGCCTATTGTGCTTTAATGCGAGTGGTCGGTGAATGGAAAGGATCCCTGTCATAAGCATGCGGAGCAAAAATGACGCTGAGAAAATTTCTAAAAGTATCCGACGGAATTTGTCAACATATTTTTTGTAGATCAGAAGATAAGACTAGTGTTAAATTTTCCGCCATTTTCCAAGATGGCGGCGCTCTGCTACGTCCGTGCCGTACCATGCAATTTCATTTACTAATCATACGCTATTTAAACATTTCCAGATCTGAAATAACTATACGTAATACATAATTATTAATTAGTAATCAATTTTTTCACTCTATAATTTCATGTCAATAAAAATTCTCGTTAATATTTCAGTTTGTGTGCTGATTCAATTGATATTTCCTTTGAGCTTAGTTTCATCTGTGTTAGTGGGTAAATAGTCTCTTAAACCATAATACGTACATTGCACACGCTGAGTTTTCGTATTTCATAATACGAATCCTCTTTTCTTTGTTAGGTTGTCTTGATCCTCTGCAAGAATACTATTCTTCCCATATATTTCCGTATCTATCTTTTCGGAATGACTATTTACTAAGAGTTCTTCGAGAGGTTTGCATTTTTCTCAAACGATCCTTACGCTGAGAAGCCATGATGACCGATGTGATTTTTTAACAAAATTGAATACGTATTTACCTAACACTGAAATATACTAACTAAGAATTTCTGCTACGTTAGCATCAGTGGCGTAACAATGAAGGATGGGGGCCCGGGTTCCGGGTTTCAATGCGGGCCCCCTCTTGCCACGGACAATAAAATAAAATAATACTACTACCACAATATAAAAATATGATTTTTTATATTTGAGTAACAAAACAATAATATACATATACCTACATACCTAGGTGGTATTGGTATTATATCTAGTAGTAGTAGTACAATATCAAATAGTATTCTAAAATTTACATATTAGCTAAATTTTACAATAAACGCTTTTTTCGTGCCTTTAGACCTGCAAACTCTTTAATTAAATGTGACATATTTAATTTTTGTGCTGTGTCATTCTCGATAGAAATTATAGCAAGAGACGATAACTTCTATTGGGCCATTGAATTTCTGAGGTAATTTTTAATTAACTTCAATTTAGGTTCTGCGTTAGCATTTCTCAGTATAGGTACGTATTCTAAAAATAAAATGAGTAATAGAGAGGGACTCTAATCCCCAGTTATTTAGTTGGGCCATACACGCTGTACTTCCAAAAAGGTGTAAGTAATACATTTTTTCACTACTAGCGTCTGAGGACATGATTATTAACCTTTTTTCCACTTGTAAAGTAGGCTTTCTCAGCAGTTGTTCAAAGTGGTTAATAATGTGGACATTATTAACTAGTAGTCAATAATGAGAACTGTCACGCTGTCACTTTTAGAAAACACAACTCGAAATTTCGCTCAATAAACGTTTTGACAAGTTCTCTAAAATGAATAATTGCCACCATCCGCCATTTCCAGAGAAATTACATACCTAAATTATCACATTTTGAAAAAATTCGAACGAAATTACTGTTTGAAAATATCTCAATGACAGAACAAAATACGGCCTGTTTGACTTTTACTTCCACGTACTTGATTCACATGTTTAAACTAATAAACACAAAGCTCTGTCCAACACCGTTCACTTTCTTATCAATATAATATGTTAATTTAGAGGACTTCAAGTGCTAGTAGTGAAAAAAATAGTATTTATACCACGGTAGAGAAGTCTATTATTGCCTTCGCACCTTACACCCCTCGCCGCAAGCGAGATGTAATCTTGGTGCTCAGGCAATAATACTGTACTTCTCTACCTTGATATATAATGTACTATTTCATTGGGACACTAAATTGACATTTTATCAGTACTTAATTATTCAACATGTCAGTTTCTATTCTGGTGGTTTTCGTTTTAGGTCAGTGGGACAGAATTACTGATCCCCTACTTTAACTTTGTGGTGCTTCGTGAACGAAAAGTTTAAAAACCACACAATCTCACCCTTACCAATGCTTTACTTGCATTTATTCTTCTCTATATTGGATATGCTTATTTCCACCAGTAAATCTTCGCAAACGAACATAATGGACTCGATCACTACAATACGGTCAGATGAACACAATTAGAAGGGAAGTAAGTAATACAATTAAGCACTAACCTCCCACTTCGAGGGTATAATTTTAACCCATATACTCATGTAAAAGTTCGGTTTAGTTTGTATTTCATTCCCTATTAGTTTAAATGTTCAATTTATTATGTAAACGTTAAACTCGTTTATACCAGATTTGTATCAACAGTCAATTTGTACATTGCAGATTAAATGGGATTTACTCTAATTGCATATTCCAACAAGTTGTTACATGAACTTCGCAAAGTTTTGTTATTTACTCCCTTAATTACCTTCGCCGATTCTTTTCACAACGTTTTATTTTCCTTAGAATAGGGTTTTATTTTATTTGAAGTTTTCTGCGAATAATTACTTTCAGTTCTTTTTCAGGGTTCATTTCTGTTGCAACCTAATTAAAATGCCGGATAAAAAATACAATGTATTAAGTAATTCTGGGGTAAGTCTTAGTGTAATTGACCTCTTGTTATGTATTTTTGTCTGTTTTAACCACTAACTCGTGTAAATCGTGTGTTTGATTTCAATTTAACTTAAGTTTGATTACACATTCAATTGCATTTCCTACTCTTAATAGCGTTGGTTTAAATGAAGCTGTTTCCATTGTGTATTTGTAAATGAAGTGTAATTAAACACACTGTTAACTCCTGGCACCATTCTAAAGATGAAGCGTCTTCCGTATCACCTTGTACACATTTTATGGGTCATTTGAGTGTACACAATTGACATAAAACTTCAGCCTTCCAAATTGCTTTACAAAATTTTCCTTTCCTGAAGGATTTCGATCGAAAGACACTGTTACGGTTATGGGAGGATGTCTATACAATCTACAGGATTGAATGGATGTAAAATCAGCACAATCGACAGAAAAGCATTTTTACTACGCGAAATATCAATTTCGGAAACGAGGTGTCTAGTGATTTCAATAGCATAGCGGAAGAAACGATTCGTGTAATTTCCTTTACATTACTATGGACTTATACTTTCTTTTCTAAATTCTTCTTATTCGATAAACTCATAAACGTAAATCAAGCGAGAAACAATATCATATTATTTTTGCGCATTATTGATTTGGCCTGTTTTCGGCGTACACTAATACCACTGTGAACATAATTGGTATACTCTACGCGAATTTTACATAAAAATACTTACATAGAGACACGGAACGATAGAACTAGGTATAATATAATAAGGAAAACGTGTTTAACAGCGAGTATATTGAGGTTCGAATACTGTATAATAATAATTATACAGTGATTAAAGCAAATGTGCCTAAGATGTTCAATTTTTATTTTTTGTCACAGTTTTCATTTTATGCATTTTTGTAGTATATTATTTGTATAGATTTAGAGTCAGTGGTTTACATACTGATGTACCCGTGTAGGGGCGGGAAAGAATACCCCTTCCGCAGAGTGCACTGCGTGTCGTAAGAGGCGACTAAACAACTGCAAGTCGATCGCACTGGAAAGTGGAATGTTCAGAGATTTGTGGTTTTCATTTACTTTTCCTCATTGTAACTTTGTTGAAGAAAGAAACTGAATTTTGTTTGTTTCTTCAATTAGATCAAGTTAGTTTCGGGTTGTCAAATAGATATTCACTTCATGATTATTAACGTTCTTTTGGTAACAAACTGTTTAATGTCATTACACAACGGTTTTTACAAACGGCAACGCTGTCGCGTTTCCACGTTTATCTGCTTGAACACTCCTTCTTATATTAATGTGCT